TCTGCGGTCTTTAGCTGCATGTACAAGTAAGGTTATGCTTTGTTCATTTTTTCTATAAAATATTTCTAGATAGTTGCTTTATCATAAACAAATGCAGCGTAGTTAAATGATATTAAGGAACGATGATCAAATAAGGGATTTATAACCCTCTGATATTTTTCCTCAACTTTGATCATGTGTGGTGAAACAACAATGTACTGGGCTATAACTACATTATATTGATTAAAAAGATTGCTCACTGAATACAGATTTCAGAAGGGCACCACACGTACTATTTGGAATAGAAGAAAGAGATAGCTGCTTTTGTAAGTGACTGACACACGCTACGTAATGATTGGATTTAAATTCAAGTTGCACTCGTTATCGATCAGTGACATGCTAAATAGTACAAAAGTACATTATTGTTACCTACTCCTGATATGATTTTATGTAAGTTGAGGAAACAATATCAGAAGGTTATAAATCCCAAAACAGTCCTTATTTTATCATGGTTCCTTAATATCTCTTAACTACATTGCATTTGTATATGATAAAGCAACTATCTAGAAGTATTTTATAGAAAAAATGAACAAAGTGTAAGATTATTTGTACATGTAGCTAAAGACCACAGATGAAAAGGTTAATTTTTTTAAAATTTAAGAAAAAAATTCAATATCTCAAAAACGGTGACACTTTTATATAGGTAAGTTTTTGTTATTTGGGAGGTCAGTCCAAAGCCTACCTTCTAATTAAGTTTGTCGTGGTACTTATTAGACACCCTGTATAGAAAGCGCCACTTGTTTATGATTTTATTCAATATTTCAATAGAAGTCAAACTGCATTTCGATAAGCTGCTCCCTAATTGGTCGAAGATTCCGTTAGATTTAAATCTTTGTGAAATTTGGCTCTGTCTATTTTACTTCCCACACCTACTGGCGTTGGAAGTATTGTAATCGCGAAAAGTTTGCAAAATGAGATATTATGTTTTTTGGATGTTATATGACATGTACATCATGACAAACCATGCTAATAATTTCTGTCGTTATGTCTGTTCGCTAATCCTTGACACCAGGCTATAATTTGACAAGTACCGCTCAGATTTTAATGAAATTTCTACACGAGGTATTTTCTATGCGAAAGACAAAAAAGCTTTATACTTTTTAAAAATCGGTCTAGTGCGGCGGCCTGAGGGGCAAAAACGAGAAAAGTAAAAAACACTCAATCTTCGTTTTTTGACGTGGATCCCGATCATTTTCCGTAAAAAACTAGGGTCAAAGGTTGGGGGTTGTGGGAGTTGAGGGAGAACATATCTCAATCTTTTTATGGTAATATACACGTCCAACTCCGGTAATTGTACGCACCTATTAGTCACATTTCACACAACATAGATTTTCTTGTACACTTGTCCAATATTTTCACTAAACGGATCGCCTACCTATCGGTCGCACTTGCCGTGCACCACAAGGCTGTTAATACTGCATCTTAGGTAGCCAATCCGAATGCATTATGGAAGCAGGTAGCTGACGATTGAGCGACGCGATATGCATTTCCGAGCTGGACGCGATGTTACCTATATGTACGGGCTCTATACTTCCAGTGTAATTGATAAGGTTACTTGGCTTACTAATACTGCATATTAGTATACGCAGCTATATAGAATACCGGGTGATTCAAATTTCACTCTCACCATTAAGATCTTAGAATCGGTAAGAGATACGAAGTCCCTTTAATGGGGGGAAAAGTTGCGTATTTGGGGAGCTAATAAAACGCCGTTCAAAAATTTTCTAAATTCAAAGTACTTCGGAAAAAAAACCGGAATTTTCTCAAAATCGTTTTAACTTTTTTTTTATTTGTAGTGAAATTTCAAAATAAATACACATTAACGTTGTCACTTTTTCTCCTCTCCAAGACGGCATTATTAAAATTTCAATTTGACTTTTCGTCTCTTGCCCTCCAGCATCAACTTATTTCATCTTAAGGACGCCATATTGGATTTTTGCAAAGGTGAATAGAGTTTCCAATTCTGATCACAAAAATGTCTAGTATGTCATACATTGTCATTGATAAACCTTAGTTACGTAAAAAACAGCATGTACTTGTGAGAGAATCGAGAAAAAGCATTTCATTATTATTATTATTATAATTACTGTTATTATTATTATTATTTGCTAGGCAGGCAATTATCATATAGTCATTTGTTTCATATGGGGTAACTCAGGGTAATATGGTAAATCGGGTGAATAATTGCTCTATTTTTTCACCGGGAACACAGAGGTCGCTGTAAGTCTGAATGGCGAAAGTTTATTATCACGTCTTGCGTGCACCTGATTAAAACAACTATTGTTTTAAAAATCGTAAGTTATTTGTAAAAGCTGTTTTTCATGCTCAGTAATTTTTATACGATGCGTGCATTTGAAGACTTTGCTTCAGTTAGCGTAGTCTGCGCGGTATTTTTTGATATTATCTGCCTTGTAAGGGCCGTATCATCAGTCGTTCCTACGGCTGGTTTTAGTGTCAAGCTGACATCAGCGCTGATAGCTCAGCTTGTGGTTTGTCAGTGCCGAGGGTCTGCGCGAAAAGTTTTAGTATCGTGCTGATCGCCACGGAATAAAGCTAGGCTTTATTCTAAAACGCTTCCTGGACTTTCATATATTCCGCCCGTCTGCGCTGACGGTCAGCGGCCGGTCAGCGTGACTCTAAAACCAGCCTAAAACCCCCCTTCAATTGTAGGACGCCTTTATGGCCTTCTTGATTGCCATGGTCTTTTCTCTCCTTCGGAAATTTCTAGATTTTATCTGTTCCGTGTCAGCGTCAGCGCTCTCCAATTGTGAAGCTATGTTTTCTTCTTGTATCGTAGGAAATTTTAGGCTGATACAGTAGATGGTATAAATCAAAAGCATGAACAGTTTGATGCAAATAGATATTTGTGAGATAACCTCAAAATGGAGCGCTGACACGGAAATGTAGAAAACTATGACAGTCAAGGAGGCCATATTCCTACAATTGTAGGAACGACTAATGATACGGCCCTTAGACTGTTTATAGGGTACATAACATAGAAATCATTGCTTTTAATATCCTAAACTCTTCACCACGCTATTCACCATTTCAGCCATGGCAAATGGGAGAAATGGTGAATTCGAGCATGGGTGATTCGGCAAAGACTTTTCCTTACGTGTAAAGTATTTCTTTAAATCTGATCTAGGTTTTTCCAGTGCTTGAATTTTGACCTAATTCTATGCCTCACCACAACTGGGCTGTTCGCAATGCACTGAAAAGCCACAGAAAAACATGGATTTATCATCAGAAGCGTCAGCTCTGGCTTCAACAGTGACAACAAAAAAGCCGTAAATAATCCCTGGCAAAGTTTTAGACCAAATTTCGCCAGTACCTAAATTAGATAAAATTAGATCTGCAAAAAACAAATTCAGAGCTTTAGAGAATTCCTCATCTAACATCGTCAACCTACGAAACAGATAACGACAAAACAACTGAGTCAGTGAAAAGTGAAGCAAATGTGAAAAGGAAAGCCAAAGAAAGAACCGCAACCAAAAAGACTACGAAACGAAATACTGAAATCAAACAACTCAAGAAACGAAAACCGTCTACCACTGAAACCGAATCCGACTAATCGCTAGATGATGATGACGACGTGGACGATGAAGACAGTTGTTGCGTAGGGTGTGGTGAACTTTACAGCTGCACTAAAACGGACGTGGATTGGACCAAATGTATTAGCTGCCAACGATGGCTGCACGAAGACAAAATAAAAATCCACGTGTGATATATGTGGTGAAAGGCAAAAAAAATAAACTGACCAATTCAGCCAATATGCATTCACCATTTCAGACATAGGCCTTGGTGAAATGACGAATTTATTGATAATAATTAATGTGCTTTTTCACGTCAGTAATGCGTTAAAGAGGATATGATACTGTTTAATTGTTTCCAACATATTTTGTGGAAAATAAGTGAATTTATTTTGTTTGAATAAACATTTTCTTGTATTTTACACGGCTCAATTTTTTTGATTGCCATATCACCCTGACCTACCCTACTAGATCTATAGTAAATTAATTGGTCTGAATTCCGACCAGGACCTCATGAGAGTCATTCGAAGAAAGTTGCGTCTGGTAGAGCAGAATAGGCCACTCCACATAATTCGATGGTATAGTTTTGTTGTAATTTATAATAACTAGTTAGTGCTTAACTAAATGTCTTCGCTGCACCGTCGCTTGTTCCCCAAACTTTAAGATAGTTGCCAAGTGTCTTGCACGCTCACCATATCACTCGATAACACTGAACCACTACAACCCTAATAAAGCGATCTTTGGTTAAAACAGCGTCACTAACCAAATGTGTGTTGTTTCAGTTCAACTGCTTGTCCCATTCATCCGCCTTTGGGACAATAGTTCTGTTTATCCAGCAAAACTATCGTTGACAGTATAATCAAGACTAGAATGCAATAGACCGTCACCAGCAGTTTGAATCTCCATGAATAGTACATCCATTGCAGGAATTGCATCAACTTCGCAATTACGCTAAGTGCCCTAAATAGACCTAATTAGTTTGTCCGGGACACCAGACTCCGCTTTGCCGAAGGAGCTAACACCGAATATGTTCCTTTAATATTCTCAAGAACAGCTGCTTTTTATCACAGTTTCAATGGAGTACCTTTCAACTTTTCACGTTTTATTTGCTCAAAAACTTACAAAAAATATTTAACCCCTTACTGCATGATTTTTTTGTTTTTGTTAAAATAAATATATGTGCTAGTTCATATTAGAAAAGTAACTAGAAAAATATATAGAAAAATTATTGATGCTTTTTTTTTTAAAAAAATAGCCTTTTTCGACATGTGCCAAATTTGACACAAATTGCAATAGTTGACTAATAACGGAAAAAATTACTGAAACCATATATGTTATAAATCGTTAAAAATACATGGGAAAACACCTAAACTAAATGTAATTTTGAATAAACATTTATTTACTCCAGATGAAAACGGCGAAAACAATTACGGTCTTTGTTCAAACATAATCTAACATTACATTTATCACACCAAACTTGTGTTTTTCCCTTACACTCAGGAAATTTGGCGATCTTCATGCCACTCAGGAAGATGTCCCACATTGTCGCGACGAATTTCTTGGGCTGGTATTTCCGCAAAAGGATATTATTTCCTTTTTTTAAATCCAGTTGAGGCTGTAGTGAGCTATTAGGTCTGCCTCGCTTTTTTGAAGTTACGTGGGATCTTGTTAGAATTTCTGCTAAACCAAGTTTGAATTGAGCCAGTGGCAAATAGTCATCAGAATTGTTGTCAGTGAGAGCTCTTCTCCACAATATCCAACTATTACAGCACAACATGTCGAGGAAATGGAAAAATATTCTTAGGTAAAATTTGTTTGACCTTATAAGTATCCTATGGTATCCTAACATCGAGTCAAGTACATAGATCAACACCTCCCATATAGTTGTTGTATATTTCTATACTCTTTGGACGAGGAATCATAATGTGCTTTTTTTCCTTTCTGCAAAATCTCTGTACTTCGGAAATGGGCCGACTGCCTACGTAAGTTCATACTGTGGTAATTATTTTGTTATCATACCAGGAAACTACTGAAACATCTACGCCATCGACTTGAGCAACTCTCTCCATAATTGTACCTCTACCTTTTTTCTTCATCATAGATTCCTTAGGAAATTCGCAATCTGGCACACGATTTTTCAAAATATCTTTTCCTAAGGAGTGAGATCCTTTGAATAATATGTCTTCATCAGATACCCTCAACTGTTTATCTTCCCAATCAAAACAAACCTTGTTTTTTTCCTTTGCCTTGTTTGCTGCAATGAGAGTTGAAAGGGGAACATCGTCTTCACTATCGGAAAAATCACTTTCTTTAATCACAATATCTTCGACCGTCTCTCTCTTGAGAAAATGTTTTTCGGTAAAAATCATCATCTGACAAATTTTCATCTTCACTGCCACTCAAGTTCGGAATCCCAACAGTTTTAGCACCATAAAATCGTTTTGCATCCATCTGAAAAAAGGGGCAATAATATAGTCAGCTTTTCTTTTACTGCAAGTTGTTCCGATTATGGCACAAGAAAACAAATGACGATAAATCAACATGTGTATGAGTTGAAGGACATAATTTTACAAAAGTCACAATAAGACATACTTACCAGAACGTAGATAATTTTAGTTGCACCAAAAATTTGATTTTTGAACGTTTTATGGCCGCCACAACTTTATAAGCGAATGTAGTAACACGTGCTTACGGGCCGCTAAACGAAATCTGGCGCAATTCATAAAATACGTGCTAGAGGGCGACAATGTTTCTTGGCGATAGAGAAGCGAGCGTGCCAGATATGGAACAGTTTAGGTTAAGGTCCTTAGCTGTTGGGGGACTTGAAAAATAACATATATTTCACGTGTGCCAAATTTGGGACAGTATGCGGTAAGGGGTTAACTTTAATCTAATCCTGCACACTACCCTATATACCGTCGTAACACAAAAAAAGTAAAACAGATGCAAAAAATGTACTAAAGAAAGTTATCCCTTGTTCTAAAATAAGATTATGACAGCTCAAAAATCAAAATCATGATCAATGTAGGCCCAAAAGGAGGTGACATGTACGCACTACCCTATATTTGAATACGATAAATGCCAAACAAAATCAATAACACTCTAAAAATTTCAGTCAGCAATAATCGATATATTAATATCTATAAAATACGCAATTAAAATGATAGTTTACCTGTTCACATCAGGGTTTTTTTCAAGGGAAGGGATAGCTTCCAACCAAATCGGCTGCCAAACAGCTACAAGGCAGCTACAAAACAAAGCTGGAGGAGTGCGAATGGTGGTTCTACAAAACACCTTTCCACTAAAAGGTAGCAGATATTGAACAAACTTCTTCTGGACATGCATTAATGGACGTAGTCCTATAGTATACAAAAGAGAACTTAACGCTCGAGGTTGAAATACCATTAGAAAATGGACGGGGAGTACCCAAATCAACACAACGTAAGGTACAAAATAACAGGGTACTACTCCATAAACTGGTGTTTGGGGCGTTAATATCCCAAAATCTGGAAATTAATGAAAAAACGCCCACACCACAATCTCCGCAGGAAAGTAAGTGATGCAGAACACCTAACCCCCTAGAAGAAGGTTAAGTGAATGGCCTTGAAGGATCTATGTATGACAGAAAATCAAAAGGAACGAAGAAAAGCCGGTAAAGGAGGTATCTTGATAGGAAATCAAATTTCATATACGGCTAGTACGTGTAGAAATCACAAGGTGGCACGCTGGTTGTAAATGGGCAGATTGTAGGCAGAACCAACTCTCTACGAAGGACCAACGATATTTTATGAGGAAATTTTGGAGACAGTCGTTAATATTACGAAAACATTAGAGTCCAAAAGATTTCAAGACAATACTGAGTCGCTGAGAAAGAAAGATATAATACGTGTGGACTTACAGAATCAATAAGCTATGAAATTTTCCAAAAGAAAGTCATTGAAAAAGGTTTGGCCTAGGAATCGGCACTCTACCATTAATAAAGAGTAATTCAAATTACGCATAAGTGATCAAAATAGTAAAAAAGGGTCACGTGATTTTAGCACGTGACAAAACGCAATAATAATTATTCTAAACATTTGGACCAAGAAGAAAAAAGAAAATATGCAAATTGCACACTACAAGTCGATTATGCTTAAGCTACCAGTTTAAAAGTTGTTAAATAAAGTCGTATTTTTTCATTAAGTTTTAGTGCTCCTGATAATTGCAAAAAATGGTAGATGTTTGTTTGAATTTCAAAAAACTGTGAACAATATTACTAATACAGTATAGTTATCCGCATTGCAAAAAGGCATGTGTGTTGTGTTTTCGCATGGAGAGATGTGACGTAATTCTTACTTCACTTAGGTTGTGCAATTTTTTTCTCATTTAAACAAAATTGTCGCGTTCCTCATCTCGGGTACACTGTATACTATTCAGTTACATGCAAAATTTCTCATAAAAAAATCACCTCACAATTTACTGACTCTTGCTGTTTGAAATGTTTGCTGAGGAGGTAATAACGACGCCAGGTGATATTGCAACTTGAAGTACCTGTAAGAATGGAAACAGAATACGTTCCAGCTTTTGTGACTCGTAGGGAGAGACACTTGGAGTGGGATAAAACCGGCAGATGATTAGAAATATAAACGTAAGAGCACATTATGAATATTCATAAGGTCTACTAGTGAGACTAACGAGCATACGAGGATAATACTACGATCATAGTGAGCTAGACAAATAAAAAATAGTATCTATAACATGTACTTAGATGGTGAGTTTAAGCAGTAATTTTGTCAGGGGAATGATACTGATAAAGTACAAATGACATTAGTAGGTACGGTCAAAACCCTCATAAGAGTATGTTGCAGAATAGTTTACTTCAAATGAAAAACGTATCATTTGATTTTTGTTCTCGCTCATTTCCGAAAGCTGCCGTACCCTAGGTATACCCCAATTCACAAACCATGAGTTCGTATAAGAAATGTTTCCTAATCCTCGTATAACTAAAAACTAGAGTCGTGTGCCATTATTAACGTAGTTGTGGCGCAAGAATCTTGGGCTTTATTTTGTTCAATACAGGCTCCAGCATGTGGGAATGGTGGTGCTCTGTTAAATGATAAAGATCTGAAAAACGTCTCCTGATTGACTTGTTTTGATCTTGGTAATCTATTACTTCAATTTCATTTGACTTGAAGCATCCTATCTTCTTACTACCTAGGCAGGACTGTTATAGGAGATGGGGCGGCTATATTATTTAAAACGACTTGTCAACCTATCAAGGAAGGTAGGGATCATCACAGCATGCATCGATGTATATGACGATGTACTCATGGTACATGATTACAGCACGGTGCGTTTATATTCCGTGTCATAAAAAATGTCCCATGACGGCTGAAACGTTTACTGTTATACCATAATAGATATAATACTAGTACACCCTAGTCTAGGCAAATTCTTATTATCTTCTGTATTCGGTTATGGATATTATGCGAATGCAAACAAAGGAGGTTATATATAATATGGGTATAAAACACTGTGTATGACAAACTAATTGTCTACATATATAACAATCTTCTAATCCTCCCTATAAATGTGGAAATATTTTCTTTCCAACCTCATAAATTACACCAAACTACTACCATATTGTTCTGTATTATCGAAGCCAGCACTATAATACCCTATATAACGAAATTTGCATCCTATTTATTCGTGCCACTACATGCATATTTGCCCGGATTCTGTTATATACCCTCCGGTTCGGTGTTCCGACCTATTTTAATCCGTCCTCGCAGACAGGGTGCCGTATCTCGCAAGCCAGCTGAAATCAGTGTGCGTCTGAAAAGCATTTCCTTACCTTGGGCTCCATTGTCTGGCCAGATCAAACCACATGTTTTTCTTCAAGCACTTGGAAAACGCCACAATATCGTTTGAAGCGCCGCTCAATATGCAAAAATTAAAACATATATGTGTATTGATTCGGCTAGTTAAAGGAGTTCTATAGGCACAAAAACAACAGGAGAAGTATCAGGAGTTACTTATTTTCTCAACGGGTCTGATTAGCAAGCTTAGAATCGGTGTGATGAGATTCATCGACAGATTCTATGTTTTCGCGTAAATGTGTAAGTTAAAGTTTTCAGATTGCGGTTGGGCGCACAACTTTTTGAAGCGGATGTGATGTTATGTGATACGCTCATTTCCATGCTCCTTATAAGTGTCTTATAACCCAATACACAGTTTTAAAGGTCAGTTGAAATTATTTCTTACAGATGAATGTTTTCATAGCTTACATATTATAAAATTGTAAATTAATCTATGTCTTTTAAATCTATACACAGTTTTAAAGGTCAGTTAAAGTCATTTCCAACATATGAATGTTTTTATAGCTTAGATATTATTATTATTATTTTGTGCCATTTCCTTTTGACCTTTGATTTCTTATAGTCCGTCGCTATTTCACTATGGACTAAATGTATTATTATTTTCATTACTTTTACCTTCTTGTTCTTCTCAGTGTAACACTGGTCCTTGAGGCAGCGGGCGTATGCTAACCAGCCCTGCTTCATGGATGTAAATTTGGCAGATGTACGAGTAGAAGTGTTCGGACAATGCGGCATGTTTCGAGCTCTACCGATTTTTGTGTTTCCCTAACAATGTATTTTGCATCGAGACCTAGAATAATTATATTTTTCTTCAAGTTCATGTTCCCATTGCTGTAATGATGATAGGTATTATCTCTACTGATTGCAATTTATGCATGCTTTTGTGCTCTTCTGCTAAAAGTATGTATTTGAATTTCTTTTCCCTTCCAGATTTATCGATATTATGATCCATGGGATGTGCTATGTCTATAACATACACCATATTTCCCTCGTTCAGTACATATCTGGCCCATCCGCGACA